GTTGGGGTGATGGTGGTGGGTGTGGTGATGCACGTGGTGGCACTGTTGGGTGTGTAGGTGTGGCGGCACTGTTGGTGATGCAGGTGTGGGTTGGTGGTGACTGCGTGGGTGATGCAGGTGTGGTGGCACTGTTGGGGTTGATGCAAGTGTGGTGGCACTGTTGGCGGGGTGTAGTGTGGTGGCACTGTTGGGGTGATGCAGGTGTGGTGGCACTGTGGGGGTGATGCAGTGTGGTAGCACTGTTGGGGGTGATGCAGGTGTGGTGGCACTGTTGGGGGGTGATGCAGGTGTGGTGGCACTGTTTGGGAGGTGATGCAGGTGTGGTGGCACTGTTGGGGGTGATGCAGGTGTGGTGGCATTGTTGAGGGCATTTCCAGTTGCTTTCAGTATTGGCTCTTTACCGTATTCATTTTTTTTACAATTTCCTATAAAATAATTTTCTTCATCGTCCAAAAAAAAAAATAGTGTTGACAAATCGTAATTTTTTTAACTTGAAAATATCTCTATTGACCAGGTGTGTCTGTGGGCCGGGACGGTAGACTGTACAGGTGATAGACAGGTGGACAATGTACTGTCATGTTCAGCTTAGATGGAGGCGCTCTTCCTCTTCCACCATCACCACCATCACCACTACCAGAAAGACCCATCACCATCAACAACACCATCACCACTCCCATCACCCCCACCTCCACCACCCCCACCTTCTCAGTCACGATACAAATATGGTCATTCTTGAGAGTTCCTACGTTAACTTTCACCCCTAACTAAAGAAAATTAAAACTCATCCAACTGACCGACTGAATCTACGGCAAAAAGGTGGATTAGATAGATAGATAGATAGATAGATAGACACTTACAGTACGACAAACTTGAAGAATTCCCTTAACACCAACAACGATACACAAACTTACCAGGCCTTCAGAGAATTCCCAGAGAGACAGAGAGACAGAGAAAGAGTAAAAAAAAAAAGAGAGGAATCATACAGTGTGAACCTTGTAAAATCCCTGTAGAACCTTGGAGAATCCCTGGAGATAAATTACAATACGGAGGAACATGAAATCTCCATATTTGCCGCCGTCACAGTGGTGGATGGCAGACCTACAGCTCACATAGTTTGGCCCTGAAGGATTACACATATCTCACAGCCAACCGAGGTAAATGGTGTTAGAGGGATGCCAGAGGTGGAGTTGCTGCTTGGTGTGTTGGTGGGGTGGTGGGGAGTGTTGGTGGGTGGTGAGAAGTGTTGGAGTATTTTTTTAGAGAATGGTGGTGAGTGTTGTGAGTATTAGTGGGTGTTGGAGGGCGTTGTAGGAGGTGTTGGAGAGTGTTGTAGGAGGTGTTGGAGGGCGTTGTAGGAGGTGTTGGAGAGTGTTGTAGGAGGTGTTGGAGAGCGTTGTAGGAGGTGTTGGAGGGCGTTGTAGGAGGTGTTGGAGAGTGTTGTAGGAGGTGTTGGTAGGAGGTGCTGTGTTGTGGAGGGGTGTGTTGCGTTAGGAGGTGTTGGAGAGCGTTGTAGGAGGTGTTTGAGGTTGTAGGAGGTGTTGGAGAGCGTTGGAGGAGTAGGAGGGTTGGAGAGCGGAGAGCGTTGTAGGAGGTGTTGGAGAGCTGTTGTAGGAGGTGTTGGAGGAGTTGTAGGAGGTGTTGGAGAGTGTTGGAGAGCGTTGTAGGAGGTGTTGGGGAGCGTTTGTAGGAGGTGTTGGGAGCGTTGTAGGAGTGTGGAGAGGAGATGTTGTAGGAGGTGTTGGAGAGCGTTGTAGGAGGTGTTGGAGAGCGTTGTAGGAGGTGTTGGAGGAGTTGTTGTAGGAGGTGCTGGAGAGCGTTGTAGGAGGTGTTGGAGAGGTTGTAGGAGGTGTTGGAGAGCGTTGTAGGAGGTGTTGGAGAGCGTTGTAGGAGGTGTTGGAGGGCGTTGTAGGAGGTGTTGGAGAGCGTTGTAGGAGGTGTTGGAGAGCGTTGTAGGAGGTGTTGGAGAGTGTTAGGAGGTGTTGGAGAGTGTTGTAGGAGGTGTTGGAGAGCGTTGTAGGAGGTGTTGGAGAGTGTTGTAGGAGGTGTTGGAGAGTGTTGTAGGAGGTGTTGGAGAGCGTTGTAGGAGGTGTTGGAGAGTGTTGTAGGAGGTGTTGGAGAGTGTTGTAGGAGGTGTTGGAGAGTGTTGTAGGAGGTGTTGGAGGGCGTTGGAGGAGGTGTTGGAGAGTGTTGTAGGAGGTGTTGGAGAGTGTTGTAGGAGGTGTTGGAGGTGTTGTAGGAGGTGGGTGTGCGTTGTAGGAGGTGTTGGAGGGTGTTGTAGGAGGTGTTGGAGAGTGTTGTAGGAGGTGTTGGAGAGTGTTGTAGGAGGTGTTGGAGAGTGTTGTAGGAGGTGTTGGAGAGTGTTGTAGGAGATGTTGGAGGCGTTGGAGGAGGTGTTGGGAGACTGAAGGTGTTCTTATTGTTTGTATCTGTGTTTATCTTATCTTACTCATTCTCCTTCCTTCCTCCTCTTATTGTCTTTCTCTGTTTTTTGGTTCTCTTGTTTTTGTCCCGTATTTTTCTCATCCTTTTCTATTTTATATCTATCCTTCTATCTATCTCTTTACATGTGACCGTATTTTTTTGTGTGTATGTAGCTCATGGTGTGTGTGTGTGTGTGTGTGTGTGTGAGGGAGTTCACCTTGCTGGAACACAGGTAAGCGTCCGTCCTCTTTAGGGACATCGTTTTACACGCCCTCCCTTCCCTTCCTCTCCCACCTCTCCCTCAAGCACCCCCTCCCTCCCCACCCCTCTGTCCCTCCCTCCGTTTCCTACCCTCCCTTCCTCCTTTTCTCTCTGCTTCCCTCCCTCCCTCCCTTCCGTTCCTCTCCACTACTCCCTCAAGCAGCCCCTCCCGCCCGCCCTCCCCCTCTCTTTCTCTCTCTCTCCTTTCGCTCATTTTCCCTCCCCTTCCCTCCTTTCTTTTTGCTTCCTTCCTCTTTCTCCCTCCTTTCTTCCTTTCTTTATCCTCCCTCCTTCAGTTCCTTCCTCGCCCGTCCTTCTCGCTGCCCTTTTTATTATTTTCCGTCTTTCCCATTTTCCTTTATTTCTTTCCCTTTCTCCTTTGGTTATTCCTTTTCTCGTATTATCTTCGTTTAACACACACACACACACACACACACACACACACACACACACACACACACACACACACACACACACACACACACACACACACTGTTCTCTCCATTCCATCTCTCCTCCTCCTCTTCTTCTCCTCCTTTTCCTTTCTCCCTTCTTCCTGTTCTTTTTCTTTTTTCTTTTTTTTCTTCTCTTTTCATCTTCAAATTTTTCCATCTCCTCTCCCTACTATTTATCTTTTTCCCTTTCTCTTTTCTTCTCTTCATCTCCCCTCCTGTTCGTTCCATCTTCTTTCCATGATCTCCTTCTCCACGTCTCCTCATATTGTTCTCTCGCCACAGATGAACAAGAAGAACAAATGAAAGGGAAAGAGAACAACACCTGACCGCCTCTGAGAACATGTCCCTCCCTCTCTCTCTCTCTCTCTCTCTCTCTCTCTCTGTCTTTCTCTTTTACTAACCCCCCTTCCCCAGTACTCCTTCCCCAGCTCCCCAGTTTCACTTACAACCTCGTTCGCCAAGTCTTAATGTCCATCTCCCTCCCGCCTTAACTACCCAGCACCCCTCCCCAACACCCCCTCCCTGCCCCCCTCCCTACCTCCATCTCCCTGCTCCTCGTTCTACAAAGCTCTCCCCAGCTGCCCTTAACACCCCTCCTCAACATGCCTCCCCAAGTTCCCTCTCCCCAAATACTCATCCTTCAACTTCTCTCCACCTCCCTCCCCCAACACCCCTACAAACCTTCCCCAGCTCCCCGTCCCCCAGTTTCCCCTCCCCAAGCTCCCTCCCCAGCTCCCCGTCTCCCTCCCCTAGTTTCCCTCCCCAGCTCCCCTCCTCCCCCAGTTCCCCCTCCCTAGCTTCCCCTCCCCAGCCTCACCTTACTGCCTCGTTCGCGAGTCTTAATGTGTGTGTCTCAGCCATTGTCATCTTCTCTTCTCTCTCTCACACGAGCAGATGGTGGCCTGCACACCTGCCACGCCACGCCTCACTGTACCGCCACGCCATGCCTACAGTGCCGCCACGCCTACTGTACCGCCACGCCATGCCTACAGTGCCGCCACGCCTACTGTACTGCCACGCCTACAGTTCAAAACGCCACACCTATTGCACTGCCACGCCCTCCTGTACCGTTTGTCACGCCTCCAGTACTGGCACACCTACAGTATCGCAACACCTGATGTACTCACACGCCACGCCTACATTACTGCCACGCCACGCCTACAGCACAACAACGCCACGCCTACAGCACAACAATGCCACGCCTATTGTACTGCCACGCCACGCCTACAGCACAACAATGCCACGCCTATTGTACTGCCACGCCACACCTACAGCACAACAACGCCAGGGCACCTGATCCGCTACACCCTGCATGCTGTACCCACATGCCTATGTTAACCTCCTGTCTATTACAATACAGCTGCCGCAACACCGCTGTACCATCACACAGGCTGTTACACACGCAGACTGTTCCAGCACGATTGTTTTATCCCAACACCTGCTGTACCTCCACACCTGCTGTACCTCCACACCTGCTGTTCCTCCACACCTACTGTACCTCCACACCTGCTGTACCACTACACCTGCTGACCCCCACACCTGCTGTACCCCCACACCTGCTGTACCCCCACACATGCTTTACCTCCACACCTGCTGTGCCTCTACGCCAGCTGTACCTCTACACCGGCTGTACCTCCACACCTGCTCTACCTCCACACCTGCTCTACCTCCACACCTGCTCTACCTCCACACCTCCTCTACCGCCACACACACACACACACCTGTTACATAAAAGCCAGTTCTTATATGACTTAGTTGTTCATTGTTTTAAATCATTCTTGACCAATTTGCTTCAAACAAATTTTTCTCGGCGCGATTATTTAACATAGGACAATTGACTGTGTTTGAATATCCCTTAAGACAATGTTGTTAAGCGGACGAGTGAGTCAGCGCCGCTCTTGTTGCCATCATCCATGTGTCCTCCTCCATGTGTCCTCCTGCATGTGTCCCTCCATATGTGTCCTCCTCCATGTGTCCTCCTGCATGTGTCCCTCCATATGTGTCCTCCTCCATGTGTCACTCCTGCATGTGTCCCTCCATATTTGTCCTCCATGTGTCCTCCTGCATGTGTCCCTCCATATGTGTCCTCCTCCATGTGACCTGCGTGTGTCACTCCTGCATGTGTCCCTCATATGTGTCCTCCTCCATGTGTCCCTCCATATTTGTCCTCCGTGTGTCTTCCTTTATGTGTCCCCCCTCTGTGTTCTCCTTTATGTGTCCCTCCATATGTGTCCTCCTCCATGTGTCCCTCCATATTTGTCCTCCATGTGTCTTCCTTTATGTGTCCCCCCTCTGTGTTCTCCTTTATGTGTCCCTCCATATGTGTCCTCCTCCATGTGTCCCTCATATGTGTCCTCCTCCATGTGTCCTCCTGCATGTGTCCCTCCATATTTGTCCTCCATGTGTCCTCCCATGTGTCCCTCCATGTGTCCTCCTCCATGTGACCTGCGTGTGTCACTCCTGCATGTGTCCTCCATATGTGTCCTCCTCTGTCCCTCCATATTTGTCCTCCGTGTGTCTTCCTTTATGTGTCCCCCCTCTGTGTTCTCCTTTTATGTGTCCCTCCATATGTGTCCTCCTCCATGTGTCCCTCCATATTTGTCCTCCATGTGTCTTCCTTTATGTGTCCCCCTCTGTGTTCTCCTTTATGTGTCCCTCCATATGTGTCCTCCTCCATGTCCTCCATATGTGTCCTCCTCATGTGTCCTCCTGCATGTGTCCTCCATATTGTCCTCCATGTGTCTTCCTTTATGTGTCCCCCCTCTGTGTTCTCCTTTATGTGTCCCTCCATATGTGTCCTCCTCCATGTGTCCCTCCATATTTGTCCTCCATGTGTCCTCCTTTATGTGTCCCCCCTCTGTGTTCTCCTGTATGTGTCCCTCCATATGTGTCCTCCTCCATGTGTCCTCCATGTGTCACTCCTGCATGTGTCCCTCCATATGTGTCCTCCATGTGTCCCTCCTGCATGTGTCCCTCCATATGTGTCCTCCTCCATGA